GCTCCATGCTAAGTGTATTGTTTGCGCACTGAGCATTGGCCGCATTGATGCAGCATAAAAATCGCATGAGCACACATTAATAACAACCTAGAGTTTGTCAAGCTCTAAATACTATTTTTATTAGCAGTAATCTCTACTTTATTCCTTCTAATTATAAGCTCGCTTTTATTGGGTATTCCATTTTTACAATACTAAAGCTTTTTGTTTTGTGCCTCTAATTCATTTTTAATATACTTACTTGGCCTCACTTATTTTATATTTAGTCTATGGGCTTCGGACGGTTCAGTCCTTTAGTTCTCGTTTTTATTTTTTGTTGCAGGCTATCTATTTGAATGTGATCTAATAGTTTTTGTTTGGTATTCCAAGTACTTTTTAGCCTATTTCATTTATAAATGACTTTCGATTTACTGCAATTATTTATCGAAACAGAAACACTCAGTGGCGAATTTAATTGTTAGATCGGATCCCCTAATTTAATCTAACAGTTTTGAGCAATTCATTCATTTAGTATAATTAGGCAAGATTAAATATTCCCTACAACAACGTATTGAATTGATCCCTCACATAGACTATTTACTTTCATAATTTTACTAAGCCTTCTTTTGTGCTTCCATTGATTGGCTGATCAATCTTTCTTATGTCTAGATAAATCAAAAAGTCGAAAGCGCAAGCCTGACTCATCTACTGGAACGCCGGGGAACGAAGTGCCGATTGAAGGTGCTGCTCCCGGTTCTAATAGACGAAACCGAAATGCCTCAGGTGCTTTGGTCGCCCCGGGTTCGGCCGGATCAAATCGCAATGCAGCCATGTCTGTCGCACCGGATGCATCTTTGACTCCCTCTACTCTATTATCCTCTGCAGATTCTCAACCTGTGCCTCGGGCTGCCACTGAACAGGCTTTTACAAACTCTGCTTATCTAGGAATGACATCCAACCAGACCTCGGCCTCTGTCTTTCCCGGGGATATTGCCAGATCTAATGATGGCAATGAGGCTAGTTCTTATTTCTTTATTTATCACTCAGTTTAATTACATTATATGTTTATAGATTTTTACATGTATCTGTGTTGCAAGCGTTTTTACTTCTAAGTGATCCCGCCCCATTTATTAAATGCTCATATTCTACCCGGTCTCGTTTGTCTCAACTCATGCAGGCCCACGACATTTTCTATGTTTATCAATGGTTGGTGTATCATCATCTCTCCATAATTTGCGCATTTGCCCGATATATTGCCTCAGATACTTGCTAAGGCAACAGGTCATTCAGATATTTGCGGGCTGACCCAGTCCCTTTGGCGCTCTTTGTATACCTGTGGGCCAAGAACAAGTTTTTATGGCTCTATTTTAAACCTAAAACTATCCTTGCACAAGGTTTATTGTCGTCCTAATAATGCGCATTGCAGATATTACTGTTTCCTGCATCATTTGCTTACCTTTTTGATAAGAGCCTAAGTAAATCATAATTTTATAATTTTAAGTTATTGCATTCCATAATAAAAACTATTTATTATTAAAAGTTAATATTCACAAATGATATTTGTGAACGTATTGGCTGTTTAACAAGCCCCAACCTAAATTATTTCCACCAACTCTTTAACAGGGTTTTATTGCATGTTTTGCCTCTTGCGCAGCCTCAAAAGCTTACTTTGGTTTTCATGCTTAATTGAAATAGTTTCCAAATGCTAGACCACCTAACGATGGGGATTTTTGATAATAGAATATTCATTTTGGCAAGTAAATGAATATGTACTTTGTTATAGTCTCCTATATGTGCTACTATTGAATTAACTAATCATTTTTCATACATACTCTAGATTAAAGTTTCAAAGATTGCGTGTTGGCAACTCTCCAGCAATATATGTTGGCAAAATGGCTAGTAGGGATTTGCAATTCTCTTATTCTTTTAATTGGCTCTGACTTACTTTTTATCAAAGACTTTGTTAAAGTATTCTTGTCATTCAAGATTCGATTAATGTATAACTACGGTATGTCATAGGTTGGAAAGCATTTTTATGCAGGAGTTGCTGTTAAATTAGGCGCCAAGTCAAATATTCTCTTATAATCATTGTGGGGATCTCAATTATTAAGCGAAGTTTGTATGTATGTTACTTCCACGTATTGAAATGTATTATTGGCGTTTAACTCAAATTACCTTATATTAAAATATTCTACGATTACTATAGTTGTGATGGATTTAGAGAATTATTTGATATCGAGAATTAATACACTTTTTGTATTAACTAGACTCGGCTATATTGTGTATAAATCTGTGTGCATGACTGCAAATTCTGCAAATTGGTGCTAACCGAAATCACTGTTATCACAGCAGGTCATATTTGTTGGGACAAAGATTGACCTCTTGTGACCTGAGACATCTCTTTGTGAATAATCAACTCGAGTTTTCTATACAAAATTTGTCTATATAAAAAATCTGATTTACTTCAGCTGACTCGTCAGGCATGCACTCGTATTTACTTTTTTATTTATTTGTGTATACTAATTCGGCCTAAGCAACTTAATTTATGAATTATTTAGCTATTTTATAACTAAGCAAGGTAGCAGTGAGCGCTGTAACTCAAAGCATACCATCATATTATGTTTTGGCAAATGCAAATTTCAACCAGAAGCTAACCAATAAATTTTTACGTTTCTAAAAAACGTATGAGCAAAATAAAAAAGATTAGTTTAACTAAAATTAATAAAGCAGAGAAGGATTATTCAATTAATCAATTGGTTATATTAAATTAAGGATTGGTGGCTATTTACACAAAGATTTTGTTAACTTTCGGAATCGAGAGCATTAACTTATTTTAATCGAAGGTATGAAGTAACTTGTTTTGTTGGTTTGAGCTCGTTTTCGCAACTTGCCCTGTGACCTAAGGGCAATGCGGCTGACTGGCTAACGTTTCAGGCTTACATGCTGCAATGTCACAATTCGATTCCCACTGGGGGTGTTGATAAGACCTAGGCGACGTCGAAATTGTCGTCCACCCTGGATGAGAACAACTTTTGGGAAAACAAGACTGATATATTAAATGTAAACGTCAGCTC